GGTGTGTGTGTTGGGAGGGTCACATTCTCATGGCTGCTACATTTTTTATTCTGTGTGTAAATTTGTAACAAAGCTCCACTAATATTTTGTTGTATTTGAAAATTGATAACCAGATATCAAGCATCTTAAAATTATGTTTCTCAATATTTTATTCTGTCCTCTCAATTCTTTTTCCAGTACTTAAATCAACAACAATATATTGTTTAGTAAATATGCCTAAGGCTTTTCTAAGATAATTTTTATCCACATTCATCTATCTGATCTGTTAGAACTGTTTGTGCTCCAACTGCTGATAATCCAGAAGGATGTCAGCTGTTTTAACAGCAGTTGAGAGAATTATGGTGGCATAGTAGATTAAGTATTGAGTTGCTAACTGAAAAGTCAGTGGCTCAGAGCCAGCACCTACTTCCCATGAGTAAGATGGGCTGGCTGTTCCTGTTAAGTAAGGTTTACACTCTCTGAAACTCGTTGAGGAAGTTCATTTCTGACCCATAGAATTGCTATGAATTGGTATTTACTCAAAAGTAGTGAGGGTTTGGTTTTGTGGTTGGTTGGTTGGTTTGGGTTTTGGGGTTATATTTTTGGTTTTGGTGTTTTTTTGAGAGAATTATGAATAGATGTGTTTGTATAAAGTTCAGTATCAACATTTATGTGTTGGTGGCTAGATTTGGGTAAGGGAAAAGGCAAAGATCCAGTGTAAAAAACCAACAACATATAAGTAAACATTTTAAAAAAGAAAGCTAGATCTCTATTTGTTCCTATTCCAAAGAAAGGTGATCTGATAGAGTGTAGAAATTATCAAACAATATCACTGAAATGACATACAAGCAAGATTCTGCTGATGGTTATCCAAAACCAAGTGGAACAGCACATTATCAGAGAACTGCCAGGGGTGCGGGCTGGATTTAGAAGAGGCCATGGCACAAGGGATATTATAGCTTATGCCAGCTTGGCTGAAAGCAGAGAGTACCAGAGGAATGTCTGTCCGTGTTTCATTGACTGTGCAAAGGCATTTGACTGTGTGGATCAACAAACTGTGGATCTTTCCCATTTCCTTTACCCACCCCTCCCTCTGCCCATCAAATTGTGTGACTCTCCGATTAAACACCACCCTGCCTATCCTTACCCTTTATACTCATTCTACAATAATGGTCTTAAACCATATTTGTCCTTATGGGACTGAGTTAGTTCACTTAGCATAATGCTCTCCAGACCCTCCCAAGTTAGTTACTAACTTTCAGGTTCATTGCTCCTGCATGCTGCATAATATTCTGTGGTGTTAATGTACCATACATAATTCCTCAGTCCATTCAATTGTGGTTGTACGTTTGGGCTGTTTCCATCTTCTTTCAATGGTGCACAACACTGCTATGAACATTAGTGTACAAGTCTTCGTTTGTACTTCAGTTCTTATTTTCTTGGGGTATATTCCACGCAGTGGCATAGCTGGGTGATATTTCTCTGTTCACCTTTCTGAGGAAACACTAAACTGCCTTCCAGACTGGTTATACCATTTTACAATCCTACCAACAGTATATATATGAGAGTTCTTAACTCCACATCCTCTCTAACATTTATTACTTACTGTCCTGTTAAACTTTGTCATTGCTACTGGAGTGAGATGGTATGTCATTGTGGTTTTGATTTGCATCTCTCTTATGCCAGTGATTGTTAGCATTTCTTCATGTGTCTATTGGCCATCTTGAGTATCTTCCTTTGTGAAAATTCTTTTCCATGTCTTTTGCCCATTTTGTAATTGTGTTATCAGTCTTTTTCTTGTGGAGGCCCTATGGGATTCTGTAAACTTTGGCTATGAGACCCCTGTCTGAAATGGTAATGCCAAATGTTTTTTCCCATTTAGTAGGTTTTCTTATCACTCTGGAAAAAGTTTTGATGCTCACAGGGGTTTAATCTTTAGAAGATCTCATAATAATAATAATAATTTTTAAGAGAGTGTGATTCCCTTTTGACCAAAAAAATAAATTAAGCCTTTCATGCCTCAAATAAGTTTCATTTTATTTCAGCATTAAGAAGTTTCAGTAAATTAACATTTTTAAGAATGACAAAAAAAAAAAAA